TTACTTACCAGCATGGAGTCCAGGTACAGCACCCTGCAGCAGCCAGCAGGGACTGCCCGAATCCACAGAGCTCTCTGAATCTTTTCCGAATAGATTCAGAGAGCTTTGAATCAATTCAGACCTTTTAACTGGTCTCCTGATTTGATTTGGATTTGGAGATTCAGCCACCGAAACAGACTGAATCTCCTCTGAATCGAATCAGCACTCAATAGTGCAGCCCTAATAGTTTATTTTCTAAATAATTAGTTGAGGCCAGCTTAAATTTGCTTGCAATTCAACTATTTAGTCTGAAGATCACTTGTTGACAAAGTCAAATGGCCAAATGGAGCACAGAGTAAAGATTTCTAGGTTTTTACAATCATAGTTCCTGACAACTGGCATATAGAAATAAAAATGGAATAATATTCTGCAGTAGTTGAGACCTGTAACTGAGAGGGTTTCAACACCAGCAGCTTTGCAGTGACAATAAGGCAAGCTCACTGATCAAGTCTAGGTCTTTAATATTTCCAAGGGAACTCAAGCGATAGAGGAGGGATAGGAAAAGCAATGAGTAGCATGAAATTAGAAGAGAACTGTCTTTTTCTTAGTATTATGCAAGAATCCCTGGGTGAAACTCCCTGTTCTGTTGTTTTATGCAGCAAGTGGCATTGGGGATCAGAATGGCCCCTTCCCACCTTAAAATCTATTAGCTATGAATCAATATTTTTATATCTTCCTCATCACTGGCATCTGAAAGGCTTTGATACAGTTCCTGTGGGGCGCTGACTGATTTGCTCTTCATTTATACCAAGCAGCAAGTCTTTCAGTTTTAAGTAACAGATTGGGGAAGATTCCTGTGATTCTCTAGGAAATTCTTCTCAGGGCAGACAATAATTTCTCACCTTTTCAAGTGGGATTGGGCTGCAGGTTAAAAAAAAAAAGAAGTGACAGCCAGTGGGCTTCCAACTTAAAGTTTACTGTGAATCGATTGACTCAGTTCTTACAAATCGTGCTGTGCCAGAATTGTGGGTTTCTACACGTATCAGATCTGTGGAGTCCAGGCTTTCAGCATGTACCAGCTGTACAGTGAAAACAGTCCACAGACATTGATTAGCAAGGCCCTCTTCCAACTGGCAGTCAGTATATACAGAATAGAGTCAGCATAAAAAAGTTGGTTGTTCATTAAAAATAGAAAACCCTGCCTACAAGGATTCCCCTCTCTTGCATCCTTCCTATTCACCTCTTTCTACATCAACCCACCATG